CCAAACAGAAGGCCTGATTTTTTGGGGCAAAAGCTTGGACACTTAGACAGTTGGCGGTATGCGGGACTCTGTCTTGAAGGCGTATCCAAGTGTTCAAGGTCCTTCGTAATATTGTCTGAGTGTAATTGTTGACGTCACCGAAAAGAAGGCCTGATTTGTTTTGGCAAAAGCTTGGACACTTGGACAGCTGGCAGTATGTGCTTGGTCTTGGAGGCTTGTTCAAGTTTCGAGGTCTTCCAAATAATTGTTTGTGTATTGTTGCTGACATCATCGAAAAGAAGCCCTAATGTTTTTTTGGTAAAAGCTTGGACATTTGGACAGCCGCCGGTATCCGATCGCTCTTGGGGGCTTGTCCAAGTGTCCAAGGTTTAATGGAAGAATGTGTGGTGTAGTTGCTGACGTCATCATAGAAGTCCGAATGTCAGCGCAGCCTGCCGCCACACATACAGCAAGAATTGCCAGCGCCAGAGGTACGCTTTTTGAGGCTTTGCACAGAACTTACCATGTCCTTAACTTTGGCTGCTCCGCAGGAAACGGGAAGGGGGTACTGAAAGAGGTGCTGCAAGCTGCTACCGGTGATTACTTCGGCGGCATGTCTAAGGATGCAGTGGTTACAGCCCCCGGCCAGAAATCTTCCTCGAAGAACGCCCCTACCAACTACATCTACGAGCTGATGGGCGTGCGGCTTGCCGTCACCGATGAGACGGCAGAGGGAGAACGAGTGGATTTGGGGCTCCTCCTAGGAATGACCGGCGGGGGTAAGACAAAGGCGCGTTGTCTGTATGGAAATAACGTAGAGTTCACCATCACTCACACGCCCTTCGTCCAAACGAATTACCCGCCCGCAATGTCTGCAACCGCAATCAAGGAGAACGTCCTGCGCCGCCTGCGAGTGATCCCGTTTCCGAACAGCTATGTTGGCGCCGACACCTTTGATCCCAATAATGCAACCCACCGCCGGCGAGACGACGGACTCAAAGATCGCATGAAGGAGGAGGAGTCTCTTCGGCAAGTACTCTCGTGGTTAGCCCGCGGTTCGGTTGAGTGGTATACTAGTACCGACGGGCTTGGGCGTCCTCCTCAAGCGGTGCAGAGTGCGACGCGTGAATATGTGACCGAGGCAGACAAATTGCAGCTATTTCTCGACCAGCATTGTGCGTTCGGAGAGGGGCTTTCCATCCTACAGGCCGAATTTGCCACCCTCTATCGCGAGTTTTCCTCAGAGAGGGTTTCAAATGAGGAGTTGGCAAGGAGGATGGAAAAGCAGGGGTTCAAGAGGCTCAAGAACGGAACGCCGCGACAATTGTATTATCCAAAGATAAGGTGCGAGTACACATTCTGATAGTTCTTTCAGGTTTACAGCCTGGTACGTAAGTTAGATCGAGGACTTAGACAAGGTAAATAGCCTCCACTTGGAAACATGAGTATAAGATATGTCAAAAAGTCTTGCCAAGAATCTATACGTATACGGTGACACTTTGGCCCGGGTTAGAAACATAAGCTGGCTTATCGAAAGAAGACCCTTGAACAGATTGTTTTAATAACCGTATGATGACGTCAGCATGTTGCGGCCAAGATTGTTTTTGCCAGGATATCCAGGACAAAAGCTAATTGCTAGACCACCTGCCCGAGTGGTTGGCACCCGGCTTTTTGAGCTTTGCTCGTATATACCAAGTTTGCAATTTTGTCCGATCTCAGATCAGCTCCATCAATCAGTAAGTAGCTGGATGCATGCTCCAATAATGTAATGATCTGATGTTGGTGAAATATCTCGTCGTTGATGATAAGGTCGTAACTCTGATCTTGCTCTGCCGGTTTTGCCAGCATGCACATGAGTCTTTCATATAGATCGCCTAGTGTAAGACTGTTTGCCTTTGTTTGTTGCTCAACAATTTTGCGGATGAGAAGGCATAAACCAACAACAATGATTTTCGTGCTTTGCGTCGAAAGCCCAATTCGCAGAATGCATGGATAGTGCTTCATGCCAGTGCCGGTCGATAGGTTCTTGCATCGGGCTAAATCGATCTCTTTATCAAAGACGCTGTTAACATTCGACCTTGACATATCCATTTCCATTGCTGGTACTCGAGGCCAAACCCCATACTTATCGTTAAAAAAAAATGGTTCACCGAATGCGTTTCCAGGAATGAGCATAGCTCAATTCTGACCCAAAAATTAAATGTACATCATATGGCTTTTGACGTATTCCCATCAGGTTTCTTTGGGTGTAGTACACGTGAATATCTTCTATTGGTCCCTTTTTCCTTATTGGTTCCCTTCACCAACTTTGACGGTGCTTGAGTCTTGCGTTTTGGTACAGTATCAACTTTCGACTCGTCATCTAATGGCTCCTCTGTCTCCGAGAGTTGTTTGTTAGTAGCTTTCAACGGAGGCTTGTTTTGCCTGCATGACGTCCAGCTTGAAATGGCATCAACGGAAAACTTCATTGTATGCGTTCGATAGGTCCCAGCAAAAGGAAGACCGGTTGGTTGTTCGGCCTTTTTCAAGGTCTCGATATTGACTTGATATGCAAACAACCTCCCTTTAGATTTACGGGTAGTTTCTACCAATAGAACATAGTAGACCAGAGGGGGTCGACATGTTTTAGTTGCTTCCGGCTTCATGCTTCTGTATAAGGTGGAACCAATTCTAGCGCCCGCTTGAAGGGGGCGACCGCTTTTTTCATTAATTTGGAGCCGGCTGCTCCGAACTCTATCGGTCAAGTCTATTTTACAACTACCACCGAAAGCTGCTTGTACTCGAAAAGACCTTATTGTTTCAGACGCCATGATAAATCCGTATGTTACTACCTCGACAGAAAAAATGTTATTGGTCATGTGATGCGTGATCTCCTTTTTATTATGTTCACTAGCTAAGTGCTCTTGTGCGGGAGGTGCATCCGCAGAAGCCCGAGTGCAGATATTTCTCCCTTGCAATGCGTCCTGCTTACTAAGAAACGACTTCAATTCTCTCTCTGTAAAGGATAGATCGGAAATTTTCCTTATCTCACTATATATAGGACAACGAAACACGAAATGGACCTCATCTTCTACCTCGTTGGTCTTGCATAACATTCAATACCTCTGGTCTCAAGGCTTCCCTTGCCGAGTCGTGATTTCTGCAGCCAGCCTATGAGCCCCAACTCTAAGCCTTGCTACCGTGGGCAGGACGGGCATATCGCTAGTCTACTCAAGTAGGACTCGTACGAATCACCTTGCTTCACATCCTTGACGTAATGTGTCCATACTGCTCCCTCAAATCTTGCATGTATGCAAAATCTGCTGAAGTACGAAGAGACTTGATATCAAAGCCTTGTGCCAACTGACCATCACGAACCAATTGCGAGCTTTTGCCACCACTAGAGCGAACCACCCTCCTTGAACGGAAGCCCACATACTTTTGACTCCTCTAGCGCTTGTCGAGCCAATCTGTCCTCCACGAGACTAGAAGTTCCATGAAGAAACTTAGAAATCTGTTCCAAGCGCTGAATGACCACTCAAAAACGGCCAAATAGTACAGGTACGGCGCGCCTGATCATTTCCAATACGACCGCACGTACACGTCGGCATATGCGCATTTGCAATCGTGCCTGCGGCTTTCTCAAAGTTCGGCAACTCTACATGCTTGATGGTCGCAAGCGCATGCAAGAGACGAATAGAGAACATGCATTTTTGGAAAACTTGGCCGCATGCATGCAATCCACCGCAATACATGCACATGTGCCGTCGGACTCCGTGAATGTACCGGCAGCCTAAATTCACTGGCGCAGATCAATATATATTTATGTGCAAACCTGAACTTAACTTGTTGCCCGTCTCTTATGCATGATCGGGTGATCCTCGTCGTAGTGTTCCCTTTCAGTCCACCAGCTCCAAAAATTGGATCAATCTGTTTAGCCATACACCACCAAGGGCGTGCTAAAGTCATTGTAAAACCAAGGATTTACGAACTTCCGATTTACATGCATTACATGCATGAAGCATTTGCACGCCAGGGCTAACCTTGAACGCACATATATGCAACTAATTGCCTGCTAGGAAGCACTTTCTGTTACAAGTACGACATTGGTAGCGAGCGCTTTCCACAGTAGCAATGCAAGACGCAATTTGTCTGGTGCAAAAGGCCAAAAATCCGTTCGCTTCTATCATTGCAAACACTCCTTCAGCATTTACTCATTCAATCAGCAACGGGCGGAGGGAACACGTGATCACAACAAATCCGCTTTGTCCCACACTAATTCCTCCAGGTTTCTTGCCTCTCCATGCCTTTTCCAATCGCGAGCCCAACCCTTCCTGTCCATCCTCTTCAACATCTTGTCGCGGCGAACCGCCCTTTTATGCAGATCTTCCTCCAGTCTCGTCCTCACGTCTTCCCACGTCCACTTCGTGACCCGTTGACCAATTCCGATTAGAAGTTGGCTCTCCAGGAAGGCCCACGTCGACGGTCCCGGTTCTCCAATCAGGGGGACTTTTGTAAAAGTATGAAGCTAGAATGGAGGGAAACAAGAAAAGACGGAGTAAGCGGTCTTGAAAAAGCTGCAGAGTCGCTTTTCCTTACCACTGTTCCTTTCATTAGCATTATTACAGCAATTTGCAGTTGGAACTTCCTTCTTTATCTGGCTAATAGCTACCCCAAGAGCATGAGAATGAACGTTCCGGCTTCATGTACGACCGCCTACTTTCGTCAGCAAATGCCTTCTACAGAGAGTAGATGTCCCGTCTGAAAAGCATGGTGCCAGGCTGCGAGAAATTTTCAGTCCTTTACTCGGAACAAGGTTCGGACACAGTGATTAAACACACTCTCTGTCGACAATCAACAGAATCTGCTCACTGACAGCTTGACAGCTTGCGCAGCTTGTGCAGAGGCCTGCCTTTCTACCTTTCTATGGAAGCTTTAGCTTTCACCAGCAACTGGATCGTCCAGTAAGTGGAGTAAGCCCACCAAAAACCCTCACAAGCTCATGTGCATGTCTCTGTAAACCATTCAGGTACCCGACTTTAACGCATCCTTATTCTTTTTTTGGAACATTCCAGTAGCGAACGATATACTTCCGAAGGAAGAAAAACTCACCGAGTCGTTTCGATAGAAGTCTCCGACGACGTACTTCCTGGCGGGCAGCCGGGCATCCTCTGGCTTTACACCATAGCGTGTTTGCAGAAGCTCCTCCGCCTCCTTCAACTGGGACTCGAGCTGGTCCCTGCTGACCAGCATCGCCTCGTCGAACACCTTTCTTGGGTGTTGTTGCTTGAACACCTTCTTCTGTAATTCGTGCGCCGCGGCAAGCGCCTCCGGGGTGATCTTGCCATACTCATCCAGCTGGAGAAGCAAAAGCAATCCGCGTCATATCAAGTGTCTTTCCAGACTTCTTGCCTCAATCCACGCCTCGATGTATGGCGGATTGATGACTCGATGACTAGCGGAGAACTTCTTGAACGATTTATTGGACCTTGCCAACAGCTGCTGTGTGCAGAAACATTTTTTCCAAAGCTTCGCAGCATAGTCCTGTTGGATGTACCACTTTCAGACTTAGTTTACAGAAGGGCAGAAATACGCTCAAAGACAGGTCGGTAATGCAAACACACAGAGCTTCGAGAGAAACTATCACATGCAGTGTTTGCCTTGTCATTAACGTGTAGCTTGTCTTCGTCTAATCGACCAAAAACTTATTGCTGCATGTGAGCAGAAGGGAAATTCAAGAAAATGAAGGAGATAGGAATCTTAGGAACTCTTCATCTTAGCCCTTCCTCCTTCCCAAAAGCCCAATGCTTTTCCAAAGGCGTGGTCTTACTTCGATGATGGTCGTAAGAACTGTTTCGGCCCCCAAATAGTGTTCAACATTGAAGAGCTGACTGTAGACCGGAGAGTACCGCCCATTGCTCGCGTTGACCAGCAGATGGTGACACGAGTAGGCCTCCAGCTGGTTGAAGCCCCCTTGAGACTCATCACTGACCTGGAGAAAGACAAAACAAAAGGGATTCAGGAAGGGTGTTGAAGTATGCGGATGTCTCTGGATTTCAGGAAGCAAAGAAAGGCTGACACAGAACATGAAGATCCTTCCTGCAAGCAACGTAATCGAATTGCAATTACATGTCTGAGAAAGATCTACTCTGCAAATGGGTCGTCCTGCCATTAAGCAGTGTTTCGACCCCTTTCCCATCACCCCCTTTCCTTAACCCACAATCCAAGCGGTCCCTTTGCCTTCTGGCCCCGACCTTGAGATACACCGAATCAGCATTTTCCTCCCACCATGTACCTGATGTTCACCCAACTGGACCTCGTTCACCCACACGTCAATCTGTTTTCCAGGTCCCCTGCCCCGACCTTATGAATCTGCAATTATTGGACCAGCATCGACATTCCACATTCTGATAGCATTCTTTAATGCGTTTCTTGCCAGCATCACATCCAAAATGAATGAGGTGGTTCAGAGATGAAGTAGCTCATATACTCACCACTATCGTGGCGGCCCCCTTGCCATCTGTTAGGTTCTTGATCATCTTCGGCAGGTCTGGAAAGCGCTTGTCGCGCACTTTCAACCCGAGGTCAACCGACCAGTGGCCCATGGTCAGCTCGTGGGTGAAATCGGGCTCACAGAAGCTGTCAGGCGAATCGCTAGCGGGGTGTATCTGAGGATCCACTGGCGGTTTCATCTGATCTTTGGGTGTCTGCAGAAGCCAGAAAGCTATGACCCGTGGAAGAGAGTTGCACTCGCAAAGCAGCACTTAATCCTCAACATGAAGAATCCTGTTACGACTTTAAGCTTCATTGCAGCTTTCCTAAAAATTTCAACACAAGGCAAGCTTCAGGATTCATACTTGCTTGAAGAAGTCAGTGCAGGGATTATTTCAGTTCATTTGACCAGAAAGAAAACGAGACAGCAGGCACCCTCGAGTATCCTGGTTTTACCAGGATACTCACCACCACGTCAGCCCCTTCTGGCTCAGGCTCCGCTCTGGTTGCATGCTCCTGCAGCAGGAGGAGCATAAGTCTAAAGCACTGACCTGAAACCGATATGCGCTTGACGCTGAACACGAGAGACTCACCATCAACACATATAGAGCTGAGACAAGGATGCAAAAGCTGTGCAGAATCGATGGGCTGTCTAGCCCAGATATTCATCACTGCCAATCACTCACCAGGTGCAATGGTGCAGGGGCGACAAATGAGTGACCAGCTAAGTAGCACCAGGAAGACGAGCGACAGCTTGCCGAGAAACCCACCAATGAAGCCCTTGTCCTATGGTCACCAGCAGCTTAGGTCCTTGACACTTACCAACACATTTGCTAACTCCTGCTCCTGGTCCATCCGAGACCTGAAGCGACAGTACTCAGGTTCATCGTCGTCCTCATTCATATCCTGCTTGGACCCCTCATCATTGATTCTCAAAAGCCTTGAGAGATCGCTTGTCAGAGCGACGATCTTTTTGTGCAGCATTTCAGCGTTTCCCTGCAGCTGCTCGGGAAGCCTCTTCAATACATCCACAGCTTCTTGAACTGCAGCACTTTGGGCCTCTGGGAGAGGCACAGGGTTGGGGGCAGTCTTCTTGCTCAGGGTCATTATGAGGATGGGAATGGCTACGAAAGAGAGACGGTTATTTAGCTCGCCAGCCTTGTCACCAAAAGTATCTCTGACAAGCTCCAGTAAAGGCAGCAGGTAGTCAAATAATATGCGCTGCAGCAATTCGTGGTCTATTTTGCCCCCAATGTACTTGTTCACGTGCAGATCCCGCTCAGCCATTGCACGGTGCGCCACAAACGGGTTCGTTATTTTGGAGTCTGTCTTTGTCCAAGACGATGGACCTCGCATGAATGGCGGCTCCTCTTTCTTCATTTTCTTCGATGCTGTACCTGACAATGAGAGGGACAGAGCCACTCTTTTCTCATTGCCGCCCATGTTTGCTACCTCGTCTCCGTTTCTCTGCTGCCGCCTCGAGTAGGTCGCTCTGCTGGTCCAAGGCAGTTGACAAGTTTTTCAGCCGACGTCAGCCTAGGCACGGGTACGGATCAAGTCCACGTTACTCGAACGGGTGGGGAGGGTTTGGGGGTTTAGGGCGTAAAACCATAAAATGTGGTCAGGTGCGAAGCGTAGAAGCTCCTTGATCGGTCACCGACTTCACCCATTCGAAATCCCATATGCTGCTGAGAGCTCGGTACGTATGCGTATCCTCGATGTACGTGAACGCATCTCTGGCCTCGCCTCGACGGCAGCAGAGTGCGGACTTGGTAAAATGCCATGGTTTTCGAACACAAATGCTCATTTTCCAGCTTCCATACCTTCTCAACAGGACCGCCAAGGCGACGAGAGTTGCAACGCCCCAACCTTGAAGCCAGATGTCCGGCTGCCTTCAAAGAGTTGTGAAGACCTCAGGCCTGCGCAGAAGCGGCAGGGCCAGTGGTAGCAGAGGCCCCAGTTGCGTGACTTCTGTGGCAATTTGCAAGCAAAATGGTCGTCAGGCTGCCATTAGCAGAAGGCAGTGAAGGCGCCTTGTACAACAGCACAAGAGCAGCTTGAATCAATTGCCAATCAACAGGTCATGCGCCATTAGAGAGTAGGATGTCCATGTAGTGCATTGGTCGACAGCAAAGACGGCCCAGAGACCAGTATTTGGGCTTTCCCAAATGAAGTGTTACATTTCTCGGGCAGACAAAGAGGGGCTTGCCACGATCTTTCTTCCAGATTCTCCAGCTATCCCCCGGGACTAGCTTTCCATGGAGCTGAGAATCGCGTAACGTTGATAAGAAGACTGCATACGCATCCGAGTATTGAGCAAAGGGGCGACATTGCGGGCAATAAAAGCCGCCGTTAAAGCTCGACCTTTTCCATCTGCACCAGCGGTGAGCCAGTATCTCTATTCTGATGGATCACTTTGTCTTACATATTCAATTATCAAGTCTAGTTGTTGAACATCCGCAAGTCCTTTTTTAGTGCAGGGCGTGAATACATGTTGTATTCCTTGATTGTAGGGAGTGTGGGGGCTCAACTCCAATTCAGCATCCCTTGCGACTGGGGCCGCCACTACTTCTCAACAGGTGCAGCTTGCTCAGCTTCTTTCCGTGTGGCCTCATCAGCTGGTGCACCTTGCTCGGTGGCTTGGTCTGCGGTGCCGTCCTCTGCAGGTGTAACATCAACTGTTGTCGTATCATCCTCTGCTGTTGGTGCAGCCATCTCTGCACTTGGCCAGAACCACAGCGCCATCTCGGCCGGCAACAGCGGCAGAATTGCTGCGGAGCAGTTCACTTGAAAGCTGTTTCGATGGCTTCGCCATACTTGTTGATGGTCTGAACCTGATCAAGGTGTCCCCCTCATAAATGATTGCGTCAACTCGAGCAGTATCTTTCCAAAGAGTCCAGGCTCTATATCAAAAGTACTCTTGCGCGCCATTTGATGAGTTCATCGAACCGTTGTAGCGGACTACGTCAACCAAGTCAGGGCCTGTCTGAGCTTGTCCAAGCTGTCCGAAGTCCGGCATAGATGATTCCTGTCGACTGCGTGCTGACGTCTTCACTTTCAATGTAGCTGACTGCCTCTATCCAATCCAACTGTGTCTGATCTGTCCAAGCTCTGTATTTGAAAAAGCACACTTACTTGAATTACTGATGTCAGCAATGTTTTATAGCTTTTAGTTGACTGCATTGACTGTTGCTTGCGCAGATGGACGCTGAGCTGGAGCAGCTACACTTGGACGTTGGACGTTCAGTTGAAACCGGGCAAGCTGGGCAAGCGGGGTAATCGGGTAGGAGGCGATCAAAATGGAGACCCGCAGCCTCGTCCAGTACGCCGTTGCCAGGTGGGAGTGTCATTGTCGAGTCAGGTTGCGGAAGCTGACGAGGAAGCGGAAGAGTTCGGTTCCGAAGATAGACTTCTGCTTGGTCAAGTGACTGGGGCGACGTTTGTACTGACAATGACGACCCTTCATGGGACTGGACGACGATTGTGATTCAGAGGAACGGCGGCATACTTCAGCGTCTGCCGCATCGACCTCCATTCAGGCGGTGATTGGAGGGAATCTGCATCTCAGGTGTGCTCACTCTCAGACTTAAGACTTAAGCTCCTTCCATTTGCTTCTTGACGACGCTTTTGCCAAGTTGCCTTCATGAATACAAACCCTCAGGAAGTCTGTACCCATCATGTTTCATATTTGAAGCAAGAAACGGAAAGATTGTGTTGCACTGGACTTAGCCATCTGTTGACTTGAAATCACATGTGGTGGTACAAAGAAACAGAAGAGAACGGAGAGAAGTTTGATTTGGAGTGCCCTGGCCAATTGGCTTTCGAATCCGTCCTTAACTTGTGTAGTTCAAATGTGTCCGGCTGGGGTAGCATGCTGGCCCTAACCCTCAAGTTGAAAGTCCAATTTGGGGGGACGTCTTGGTTCTGCGGTCTGATATTGTCCCAAATCTTGTGTGGGTTGAGGACTTGTTCTGACGCCGTGGAGGACGCTCACTCTTGATGGGGTCTTGCTCATCTTTTTGATCGCCATGCCATTCGCCAAGGCCAATGCTTTTATTTTTTTGAGCCGCATCCGTGGTCGTTAAAGCCTTGGAGGTCTTTCATTCTGGAGCATGAATTTTTGCACTGCCAAGGTCATTAGTGGTGCGTTTCAGAGCTTCAGGCTTGAAAGTTTGCGTTTAGTGGTTCGTCGAATCTGCGTTGACGTCGTTTAAAAGCAGTTTGAATTCTCGGATAAAAGCGTGGACAGTTGGACAGCCAGCCATAAGATAATAGTTTTGTGGGGTTCATCTAAGTGTCCAAGGTCTAACGAGGGATTTGCGTGGTCAGTGTTGTTGCTGATGTCATTTCAGGCTTAGACCATCTGCAGCTTGCGATGGTAACAAGCTAGGAAATCATAGCGGAAGATTGATTAAGTTTTAGCGGGGAGTCTCTTTGTGGGCCCCGGGATTGGGGTGCTCTTCCTTAGCGTATTGTTTGTGTGATGATTGCCCTGGCAGCCAATCTTGAAAGGAAGTAAGGTCCCTTCATTGAGATTCTTTTCTTGCAGGTACCACGTCCAGCAGCTAGGAGGCTAACGCGGTCAAGGGTTGAGTCGACGGTGCAAATCGACATCATCCCACCTGAGTTTTCGAGATTGAATATCTTGTCTACTGATCTTGAATCATACTTCAGAACCATAGCAAATTTTTGTTGCTGTGGTCTCAAGGGCAGGTCCTTCTTTTCTGTTTTAACATACGAACCGCTTCTGCTAGAGGTTTTGCTACACAAATCTGATAAAGCTCTTTGAAGTAACTATTTATCAATTTGAGAAAAGTGCACTTTTCTCTAACAAATGCCTTGGCCGCTAGCATTTTCCAACATATAATTGTTGGGTAACATTTCGTTGTCATTATTTTCTGACATCAATGGTTGATATAAACAGGTCAGCACGTCTGATCGTGTGAAAATTATTGTCGAAACACTGATGTATACCAATAAGTATGGATGCCTTGCGTCAGCTGTTCACTGACAATATTCGAACTCAGGCGTCCGTTGACCAATACATAAGGGGCATTGCTCTTATCTACCAATTGTGCCACAATCGACCACTCCCTAGTACAGGCGAGCTAAGCTTTCTAGAAACAGACGCACACGTCTTCACTCAACTCGTGCATGATCGATATGCAAATCCTGGATCGAGAAGGACGCGATTGGCCCCTTTTCTTGCCGCTTGTAAAAAGCTCGGAAACTCAGAAGCTTATCAAATATATTTTCAACCGTTTCAGAAGGATAATCAGCCGTTGAAAGAACTTCGTGAGAAACAAGCCGTTGAATCGGGGCAAAACCCTATGAAAGAACTTGAGATGTCACGTGAAGACATTGAACTTTTGGGTAGCAAGCTTGCCAGAAAGGTCCGATCTTTGTCACACGTTGTTGCAGACGACCTCGACAGAAAGGATGTGAAGACCATAATGATACATTTGCTCGTCGAATGGCACCTTCTGATCAAAAAACACGTCAGACGAGGTGTGAAGATCTATCATTTACCTATCATTCTCAAGAAGAGTAATGGCCAGCACGATGACACCAAGGATGCATTGATCCAGACAAGTCGGTCACATAACACGTTTTGTTTACTGAAACAACAAGAGTTGTACGAGCTCCCAACAATGTTCTGTAAGTACCTTGCTAGAACGTTAGAGCTCATCCCTCGAGACTTTTTCATAACCTCAGTGTCTGATCCGCTAACACCAATGTCAGGAAGCAATTACAGCAATTTCTGCGGCAAGCTTCTTTTCAACGAGAAGTCACTCAATCTTGAACGCATCTAACTAAGACTTGCTTTTTAGGCAAAAAATAAATCTAACGATATGTATAGCTGAAGGACTCCCGCTGCGAAGCTATAAGGAAGATGGCCACACGGGTAGTTCACATCGAGGGGCCACACAATCAGAGGAGGGCATCGCCACCAGAGTTACCAAAACTAAGGAGCATTCTGAAGGTCAAAGACGGTCGTGATGGCTCAGAGGCAACGTTACGAGCCGACTCTACGGTAAATGTATACCTCCGTCAGATCCAAAACATATACACAATTCTTAATCCAAACGA